GAATGCCAAATGTCTAAAACAAAGACACACACAAAAACTCCTTTGACTCTCACAGAAACACCTGTGAATGCTTTCGATATAGTGATAGACGACACAGTTGGTCCGCTACCTAAATCCGAAAATGGCAATGAATACATAGTCACATTAATATGTGACCTTACAAAATATTTAGTAGCCATTCCAATAAAAAGCAAAAGCGCAAATAATGTCGAAAAAGTTATATTCGAAAATTTCAAACTCAAGTTTGGACCAATGAAGACGTTCATATCGGACATGGGAACAGAGTATAAAAACCAGATTTTAACTGATTTATGCAAGTATATGAAGATCAAGAATCTCACCTCTACTGCATATCATCATCAAACATTAGGGACAATAGAACGAAGTCATCGAACATTTAATGAATACATTCGTTCATACATCTCTGCAAAACTGACTGGGATGTCTGAATTCAATATTTCACTTATTGCTCCAACACGACACCATCAGCAACGCATGAGTGTTGTCCATACGAACTAGTATTTGGCAGACTACCAAAACAGTTCATAGACTTAAACAAAACTAATTACATAGATCCTATTTATAATTTAGATGACTACTCTAAAGAAATAAAGTTTAGATTAGAAATAGCATACAAAAGAGCTAGAATTATGTTAGAAAAAGCCAAGGCTTATAGGAAATTAGCATATGATGAAAAATCAAAAAATGTTGAAATAAAAGTAGGAGATAAAGTACGAAAAAGGTCACAAATTAGACTCAGTATATTTAGGACCATATATAGTAGAGAAAATAGAAGACAATGACATTTTTATTAAAGTTAAGAAACAAAAAGTACATAAGGATAGGCTAATCAAGTATGAGGATCTAGTTGGGAGCTCCCGACAAGGGGATACCCTGAACCCTCTTCTTCCAACATCAAATGCATATATATTCTATTCAAGAAGCTATATGTACCAAGTTCGATGACTCAAGCTCTTATTATTTACCAAAATTGCCCAAAAAAGAGGATATCGATATCGATTTGTATCGATTGCTTGGAAACTCAGTAAGTTATCGATTATCGGAAATAAACTCAATCTGCGCGGGAACTAGGAGCACCTACATTTAAAATTTCAAGTCTCTAGATCTCATAGGTTCTGAGATTCGGACGGGCGGACGAACGCACGGACAGACAGACGGACATGGCTAGATCGACTCGGCTATTGATGCTGATCAAGAATATGTATACTTTATGGGGTCAGAGATGCTTCCTTCTGCCTCTTACATACATTTGGATTTTGCACAAATACAATATACCCTAATACCCATTTTTAATGGGTTCAGGGTATAAAAAATATATTCAATGAAACGGTACATGAAAAAAATGGTCTGATCAACCTAAAAAACACTAAAAAAACAAACCAAAAAGAAAATGTTTTATTCTTCTACGAAAATTAAAAATAAAATAAAACGTAAATTCAAATATATTAAGAATAAAAATTTGTCAATGAACACTCTTTAATTCATAACGGACACACAAAACAAAAATTAATTATAGAAGGTATGCAAATATCTACATATATATATATTAAAAAAATAATAATTTAAAATACATTTAAAACATTATAAATACATTACAATGTAATAAATCTTCAAATTAAAAAAAAAAGTTAGTTATGTTATTTTTCAAAAGGAGGGAGATGTAGTATGTGCATATATTGAGGGTACACTGTACCAATAAAGTAACATCGGTTAAGCATAAATATATCAGCAACACATTGTTGCAGTACACAAACAAAACCATTTTAGGTGATCGTGTAACATGATCACCCGCTTATGAGCTAAGCTAAGTCAGCACGCTGACCACTTGTAGCATATATATATATATATATATATATATACATATATGTACATAAGACTCTCTCTCTCGATTATGCTGATAAGACAAAATATGTATGATGCCGCTCCGCTGCTGACGTAACCGGCAGCGCAGCTATGCGGTCTTAGCCATATATAATATATTGAATAAAACATTCTGAAAACTAAAGTCAAACGGCACAGACGTGCCCGTGTATTGTATGGTATTTACCATTAGAATGTACTTGTGTATGCGGACGATCGGAAACTTATTCTTTCATTTATTGATTCCTTACATCACACTCGTATACAAGATAATTTGAACGCTATGCAACTTTAGTGTTGCCCTATCAATTGAATCTAAATTATTTAAAGTATATGTTTCACCTTAACTTGTCAGTTATACAATCGACAATACCCCATAGTTTCGGAGTATATCAGAAAGGACAGAGGAATTGGAAATAATGGGAGCTATTATAGAACTAATGTGAAAGTATTAGGGTAAATATTATTATTAGGACAGACAGAGGAGTAAGTTAATTGGATATATTGAGCAACAAGGTTAGCTTTGCTAGCTTTCATAAAATTGGCGATATTAAAAATTTACACTTTAATTTTACGAAATTATAAAACTGTCTCATATTTCGTGTAAATTGCCTTTTGCAAGGAGTAATCTAATTCTTAACGCTGAGTATTGAATTGAAGAAATTTTACTTGGTTATGTCCAGGTTATTGACCAGTCGGTTGCATGAATACGTTGATTAAGCAAGGAATAGATTCCTTTGCGAAAGCAACGGCGGGGCTTGTTGATACCTAGTGAAAAAGAAATAAGAGGATTACAGTTGAACAGGAATAGAGAAAGGAAGGGACCTGGACACATTACCAATAAGGTAATAGTTGACAAATACAAGATCCACTGTTCCATTTAAATTGTATGAAATTAATTTGAAACAACGAAAAGTCTAGCATGGAATCAAATGTCACGCTGTGCTGAGGGTACAAGATAATATTTGTCGGTGAATAATGACCAAGAGATGTTCACTCAACACGATAAATAAATCATTATCACGCACATGTGTAAAAACTTCATAAATATAAGTTATATATTGTATATAAACTTGAATGTCAGAAGAAGGTGAATGATAGAAGCATGTTATATAAATATCGCGTGATAGAAAAGTTACCTCAACTGAGGCAATCTCAGCGGCAGCAGGCCTCGTGTCGGCCGATGGCATGGTTGAATTTAATAATGTTTCTGGATATCCGATTATACCCAATCGACGGTAGTTCTAGCTATAAAAAGATGTTTAAGCTTGATAATAATGCCTCTGATATTCTGAAAAAGAATAGAAATTAGTGCGGATGTCGCGGCTAGTTTTTTGTGGCAGTAACAGTCGGACGTTACATAGAAGAGAACGTTACTTTGGTTAAACTCGTGAACAATCATGTGAGGAGAACAAAATTTAGGATCACAAATGATTGGGAATGAATCGTGTGCAATATCAATTTTGAATAAAGATTTTTCACAAGGAGTGAAGAAATTAAATCGAGATTTAGTTATGCTTCAAAGGATTTTCTAGAAATATAAGTAGTCACTGAATCGCAAGTAGTATCAGATAAAAGGGACACAAAACTGGCTTAAGAGGGGCAACAATAATCAAAATAGGACAGTTCCTATTTTGACCCATCAGCTTGGGGCTGTAGATGAAATAGGAGTTGGTGGGCTTTTAACAATCTAGGACCAGTAGTTGACTGAGCTGAATGAGCAGGCTCTAATATAGGGTCTACAGGGACTACCCCAGAGGATACCATAAGGGTGATATTCGGACAATTGCTTAGAGAAGGCGGTAACGACACCATTTGCGAGAGAACATTTTAAAATTGAGACTCTTACCGGCGATTAGTAAGTGACTCAAATTTATATTTGCTAAGCAACTCGAAGCTCGAATCAAAGTTACTCGAGCGCTGCTTAAACACATTATTAGGTACAAAAAATGGATTTCTCACAGAATTATAGATATTATACGGTGAACAAAAATAGTGCAAGCCAAAGCTCGAATTCAAACATCGTACACAAACATTTTTTGTTTGGAGCAATAGGCAGAAGCCAAAATTTGTGAGAGCTCGATGCACAAGTAGAATGTGCAGCACCGAACACACCTACAAACAAGTGTATGCACCGGAGAGCGCCAAAACAAATATTCACAACAAAACAAAAGCAGCGCGTGATAACTGCAATAATTGATAAACTTACACTGCACAACAGATAGAATTTTGCGCAAGAAATAAAAGCTTTTTAATTAGAGTATAAAAGATACATTTTCAAAAAAAATCATTAGAAGCTCTAAAATACTTAACAATTTAAACAAGACTTTCTCAAACTGAAAAATCTTTCTCTCTCCATTTAATCTCTTTGCTAGAAAGCTTTTGTCTTGAAACTTTGCTTAGATCCGCCTTTCTGTTTCAGGCAGTAAATATATAAGAACTGGCCGGATCTAACCACTATGTCATATAGATGTCATAGGAATTTTTGTGCAGCTATACAGGTCAGGATATAATAAGAATTTGTAGAGTTTTTTGATGCTTGCCAAACTGAGTAATATTTGTACAGAGTCTCAAAACCTTCAAGAGATAGAGACTTGAAATTTTAAACGTAGTGCCGCCGCCGTACATGTATGTATGTATGTTTTTATATTTTCGATTGAGTTCAATATTGAAATCTTGTTACTTGAGCAAATTGTTGCATTGGGAGTCGCCAAGGTCTATCGATATATCGGTGCGTACCCAAAACTCCTTAGAGCGCCCCAAATGTTGCAGATGCAGGATCCACCGCCTTGAGCGAACAAGAGGTGACAGCCGGTTGCCCACCCGATTCGCTCGTAGGCTACTGAGTGGATCGGATACCCCTGCTAATACCCTTGTCCTACAACTGGGCCGTTGACCTAAACATGCAGCTGTACATATGGGCAAAAACAGTGACCATATTTGAAAGTATGCGTGTGCTAAATTTCTTCATCTTTGATGCTGCTGCTCAAATGTACAGCAGGAGTTCGACTTGGTTAGCGGTTAACGGCTGGCGTGTTGTGCGCAAGCGCACCTTAACAATAACTTTTCAAGAAAATATAAAGTAGCGTTGCTATGCCGCAAGAAGTAAAAGAGGCATATTCTTTTTATTATTTGTGCCGAAAACAAAGACTTGAAGATCGAGCAGCGCAACAATTTTATTTTCTTTAAAGTGTCGGGCCACACAAAATCTTAGTCCGTAAATAAAACTCCGCAATAAAACTTTACCTTAAACGCGAAAAAATGGGACTAAGGCCAGTATAGACCAGGTCGAAGCTCACGTCGACGGCGCTAGGCCGGTAGATACATTTTCTGGGCCTAGGGAGTGTGTAAGCCGTCCAACAGTAGGAAGAGAGAAGGCCCTAAAGCCAAGCTGCGGCGGGCGAGCCGACGGCAACCAACATCGGGAAGGGCGACGATATTCACGTAAGTCCATACGTACGAGCAAAAGAGAAGCCGAAGGGCGGTCCGACTCTTTGTCCCGTCTAGGTTGCTGTAAAGCGGAGAAAAGATATTTACATAATAAAGATTAGTTTTTTTTTTGCCTTCTATATAATTTAAAATTAATTGGTAAAAAAGGAAAATACATATATTGCATATATTTACGCCGAAAGCAGGACCCAAAAGTTACGGCCAGTGCGAGGGGAACCTAAAAAGGAAAAGTTTAGTTTTTGATTCCGTGCCATCCGTCCATTTGTATATACACATATACTTAAAATAAATAAAATATGTACATCGCTCATAGCACCACAGAAAGCTCTTTAGGTAGGCTAATTGAATTTAAACGAGTAATTTAATATATATTCATAAATATACAATAAGAATTTTTCTAGCACAACATTTTTTCAGATTGTTAACGCATGTATATACATACGTGTATGAAGGTGTGGGGGAGCCAATCGCTCACAATAAGAGATTTATAAATGTTATAAGGTTATAGCTTTCGGTGACGTCGTACCTTTGTTGTTGTTTTGCTATATTGAAACTAATACCCATTGCTAACAATTATAAGATAAAATGAAGTATGCACCTGTTGACGAGATGAATACCAATGTCCACTTTTTCGAAATTATAAATAACACAGAGGAGATATCATGTAAAGAGATTATGAAATATGAAACAACATTTATCATTATGAGAAATGCGATCAATTAAATACAAATACTGAAGAGAGAAATGTTCGGCGAATTTCCATTCATGAGGAGAGGGGGCATAACTACCACTGACAATGAGGGGTACCGTTTCAGGTAGGGCGGGTACGCTGGGTCCGATCTGGAAAAGTAAACTGAGAGAGTACAGTCGGTTTCACGCCCAAATCGCTCGTAGGGTAATGAGCAGATCGGATGCCCTTGGTAATTCCCTTGGCCTACAACTGGGCCGTTGACTTAAATATGCAGCTGTGCATATGGGCAGAAACGGTGATCACATTTGAAAGTATTAATAGTGTTTTTTTTTTTTTGTAAATTTATATTAGCGTCCCACCTTTGTTGTTTAAATTTACTTGTTGTCACAGCTAGTAGCGCTGTTCATTTGTTAGAAGTTCCGGCTGTTTGTTGTACATCGATTATGTGTTTTTTTGGATAGTGTTGTGTAGGTCTGGCTTGCTACAAAAGTTATAGTTTTGTTGATATTGATTGTGTGGACTGAGGGCCAGGGATGGGACAACTCACAAGAATCCGATGAGACAGCCGGCGCGGCCCAAAGGGAAACAAGCAGTTCGTAACAACATCTTTTAGGTTTTTAGAGGTAGTCACCAAACTTGACATGTAGCTTCTTGAATAGTAGTATATAAATATATACATAAATTATCTTTCATTTTATAGCTACCGCCACCATCTCGCTTCTACAAATCATATAAGTAAAACAATTTCGACTGGCCACAATGTGAATGCAATTGTGTTTTTGAGAATATAGGAATATTAAGTCTCACAATAAAACTGTTGAAAATTGCATGAAGAGGTGTTGAGAAACACAGAAGATTAACACGTTTTTGTAGTAGTTGGCGCAAATCGCAAGAATTTTTCATACATGTACTCAAGCATACATTCATGCACGGCTTTATTCAATTCTATCACCAGCCATAGAACATATAAACTGGGCAACTATATTAAAATAATAGGACCATCCATATTTTTGACACTTGCTCAGCGAGCAAGAGAGTAAGAAATACATATGATTTGTCTTGTAGAACGGCATCGATTTCTGTTATATCCATATCCGTAAGAATTATGTAATAGAACGGCATAGGTTATCGTTGATAAGGATACCGAAGTGTTGGCGCGTATGCATTTACCATTTTTGGACTTGCTATGCACGCACACTTTGATAATTTGTACATGAATAAAAGCATTTGTGTGAATGTGTGTGCCTGGTGGTTGATTGTATGCCTGTCCCTTGCAAGTTTGAAAAGATTTGAAGCTTTAGGGATTTTTAAGTTTCAAGCTCTCCGCACAGACACACACATAATAATTTGTGAATGGGCCCGAGGGCCCGAGTTACCAAAGGGAATGTATGTTGATGATGTCTTCCTTCTTGTTATTTGTAATTTATGGTGGTGGTGGATTCCTCCAGTTCAAAGATAAAGATTCAAATAAAGAGTGCAACCGCTTTGTTTCAATGTTCTATCCAAACTAAAAACTCTCAACTGCCAAGGTGATGTCGTCGACGGTGTTCCATTTACATACAACAGTATTCTACCTATTGCTGATGTACCGTTTTTATGTTGACGTAGCAACATAGTGCTACCAAAGACAATATAAACACTAAGATGAGTAACGCCATACAACAAAATGCTACTATGCAGCTTGATTTTTTGAAAATTGAGAACGAAAACGAAATCTGTAGCATTGCGCTCTCATACCCGAGAGAACAAAAAAGCTAAAAATAGAATTTTCAGCTCTCAGCTTCGGCTCTGTGACGGCCGTGCAAGCAATTATGTTTGTATGCGTGTGAATATACATACATAACAGCATATTTGAATGTGTTGTTATCCACTGCTCTAGCAAAGTCTCTGGCTGGTAAAGAAACAATTTTCTTAGTTTTATAGTGCAGATCACGACGTACCCCCTATCCGAACCGCAATAATCTAAATTGAACTAAGCAGACTGCTTCTTCTCAACCTTCCGTCGTTAACCAACCGTAGGACAATTCTCGGTGTAGTCCTTCTACATAAGTTGATTATTGGCGACATTGATTCTCCTTTTCTGCTAGGGCGTCTTCAATTCTCTGTTCCGGCTAGACCAACCAGGAATTATCGCCCCTTATTACTATCTACGTGCACAACAGATTACGCTATGTACAATTCTTTTCGAGTGTTATGTAAAAATTATAATAGTTCCTATCACGTTTTCTCTACCGAACTGTCTCTACCACTAATAAAATCGTTGCTTTCAGGATACCTTCGGGAAGTCGCTGACCATTCCCAGCTATGAGCAGGGGCATAGCTTGCCGGACAGGCTGAAAAATTTTCTCCCACCGGGTCGGTGATTTCCCATTACTCTTCTCTTTGTTCTATCTACTTAACACTCTTTATCTAACTTACACTGCTTTACTTTATTAACAATCTTCTTACTTTCTTTTTTCCTATTTATTGTATTTTTTTTATTAATATAGCAAATTAAGATTATTTTTAATTTTACTTGAGATCACTTTTATCCTACTTACAACCTTCTGCTTAGATGTAGGCTCTAATAGCGTCACTGACAAAATTAGCTGTGAAAAGGGGCACAGCTGGCCGGACTGGCAAATAAAACACCTCCATCGGTCGGGGATGCAATTTAGAAAATTGTATCCTTTAACTAGACTGTTAGCATATAATTCTATTGTATAATCCTTTGAATAATGAGGAAGACACTCGTTTTGTCGACCATTAATAAATAAATAAATAAATAAATAAATAAATAAATAAAATATTTAACTAAAATAAATAAATATGCTATTGTATTTTTAGCACTCTTTTATTTCTTAATTGGCGAAAAAAAAATAATATTAATTTAATTAAAAGAAATTATGTAAATATTTGCATAGACTTAGAAATACATATTTTCTACGGAGCCAACCTCAGAACAGAAAATGCATTCATCTATCAACACAAATTGGGGATAGTTATGGGGTCCGCTAGAAAACTAACAAAATTAATTTCTTGCCAGCTAAAGCCAGAGCAGTGACTAAAAACACATACACACATACATACTTTACAGTTCTTATGCATGTGTAATTCACGCATTCAACAAAAGGCGCTTGAACGTCATTGGCTGAGACAAGAACTTTTCTCTGTCCAAAAACAAAAGTGAAATCAATCTATGATGCGCCTTGTGTACAAATTATTTAATTCTTAAGTCTTCCTATAAAATTAATCGTGAATATCTAGGGTAATATATCATTTAAAAAAAGCATGCATTTAATGGCTAAAGAACAAGCACTTTGCGTCGATCGTAAGTTATAAACTTTTTCGCTCAATGTACTTCGAAAACGAAACGACTTAAAGAAGCATCGACCAGCTTTGCTGAAGGCAGGCTAGCGACTAACTTCGTTGCTCGTGTCAGCATCAGCAAGTCGCGACTTAGGCATTCGTTCGCCTGGTCTTTGGAGAACGAACAACCAGTCTGCAAGCATGCCATACAAAGCCTCAAAGGCCAGATGAAATTTTGCGTCGCATTCAAATTTATGGGCGTTACTCATCTTAGTGTTTATATTGTCTTTGGTGCTACTATGTCAACTACAGAGTGTCTTGACTAACGTCGCTCTATATAATGAGGATTGACTACGTTGGTTTACCCGGTGGCTTGGGGGTGTCATCTCAAGAGGGGCTGTGACAGTAAGTCGTCGTCCAACACCCCCCCCCCCCCCCCCCCCCAGAACGGAGTGATGGCCATAAGCATGGTATAGCCGAGATTTTAATCGATAGCATATCCATCGGAGCGAACAAAATTTTCTTTGAATTACTTGTCCATTTTGCGCCTATTATTTTAGTGATAATCACAACTATAAAAAGGTGGTAAAGGTGGTGGTAATTAGGGTTTGAAGGTGGAGTTTGTGTAGATTTAGGTCTACGATGGTGTTGTTGATCGTCATAATTTCAAATGCTTGTATTAAAAGTTAACTTCTTTCTTACTATTTAAATTCTGTATCACCGTTTATCAGCGTACAATCTTTATATCCAACAATAGCTGATTCTTCAATAGTTCGAGGTTTGCTGCATGATTAGGTTTTTGCAGGTTTCACCGTCTTAAAGATTAAAATGTGCCTTTGCCCACTTCTCTGATAGTCTGTTCATTACACATTCATTGAGATCTCACGTTGTTTTTTTGATTTGAGAGTATGCCTTTTACGACGTGTTCGCAGATGTAGGTTGATGGGCTTTGGGACATTTGTTATAAAAATATTTAGTATGGCCAGCTTGATTATAGGTAAAAAAGTTTGTTAAAATAAAATTGTTGATTCATATTCAAGTAATGGGACAATGTGTACCAGTTTGCATTTGTTCTTGTCAAATATTGGTAGCCTAATTTTAAACATAACAATTGTTTCCTGTATATAGGCTTCTAGTGTTAAAAGTCTATACAAATGTTCTTCTGATTATACTACAATGTCTTGTTCAGTTAATAGCTTATCGTTTAGAGTCCTACATATATTATTCTTATAATTGTTTATAAAGATGTTTGTGGGTTCTTGTTCTTCGTTAATAAGCTCGGCAATGTAAATCTTAAAGCTACTCTCTAAATAGAGTTTGTTGATTTGATTTTAAAAAATTTTTCTTCATTTTCCCTAATTGCGTTTTATCTTGCGTCAATGTTTTTGGTATCTTTTGATTGCCGTTACAACTTTAATCATGCTACCAAGACCGTCTAGTGGACCTCTTTATCTTTAAAAAAAAAACCTTTGTTATAATTATTTTTTAATGCATTTTCTTATCTTTGATTTAGTTTTTTATGGTTCTCATTCTCTTGTCTAAAGATGTCCTGTGCTAATAATATATCTGGGTCGTGTCTCTCGACGTTCTACCTTTTTAATTCTAATTTGCATTTTGTTATCTATTATGGTATTTCTACCCTTTTGAAGGCACAAGAAATATGAAATAGAAAAAGGATTTGCCACGTCGATACGAAATTCTGGCATTTTAGCTCGCTATCGTTGGTAAAGGTACCCAAGCGTTGCCATGTGTTGTAATGTAAAATTGTTACTTCAAGTTTTGTTGTGTCGATCCTCAAGAAGACTTCGAAGGAAACCTTCGTTAGAGGGTCCACATGGAAAGGGGTGGTCTCGCGGTGAAGTCGGAGGGCGAATGGTCGTATATATTCCCACCAATCTTTACTACTGGTTTTTCTGTAGACCTTAGGCGCACAGCAGCGGTCGGGACTCTTTAATACCCTAGCTCTTCCGGGTTTGGGGTGGGGTGGCTGTGTCCGCAGGCCATCGATACATAAACTTAATTATTATAGAGTCCCTGCTGAATCTAACTTGAGGAAGCTAAACTTCCATTTTTAACATACCAAAAGTGGACAAAAGGAAACCAAAATCTAACTTACAGCGTATTAACTGTGTACGGCAACTTATTGGGGGAGGCTTCTTACAACTAGACAACTGTCAGATTTTTTTTTGCAGGATCTGAGGTGAAGAGCGATCCTGGCGTTCTTTTACCTACCCAACCATAAATCTCTTATGCCAGTTTTCGAGAGATTCCCTAGCGTAAACTAATCTATAACATTAGGTCACTATGCCGCCCATTATTGAAAACTTAAGCGTTCATTGTGCCTTGAAACAATATATAGGCTTCATTTATTTTCGTTTATTTGATGAAGTTTTAACCAGCAAGAAAAACTACGACCTTTCCTCATATCGCTTCCTACTAGCCGTTATTATTCTTATAATTGTTTCATATGTCGTGCCAGTTGTATAATTAAAAAAAAACGAATCGATGCTGTACGACGTTAGTCGGGGTACGTATTATATATGGAACAAACATCGGGATTAAAGTCCTAACAACAATGTAGTTTTCTTTTCTAAAAAAAAAAAAATTACTAGTCGGCGCATACTTTTATTAATTACTGTCACAAAGCAAATCAGCAGTTGATGCTACGTTCCTCCGCTTTAAACTTTCGAGTTATGCGAGGGCTCGAAGCGTAAAAGGGGATTCTAAGCATATGCCCGATTAATTGTTACTGATCAGCTGTTTTGTTATTATGTTACGTTATATATGTATATCTGAATGCATAATTAAATCACAAACAAAAAGCGTGGTCGAAAGCTCTCTCGCTTACAAGCATTGTCCAAGCGCGATCGGCACCTACACACTCACTTAGCTGAAAGCTCTATGTATGGACATATGGATGTTTGCAGATGCGATGACGCAACGAGAAAACTTTCAGAACGCTGACACGCTCAATAAATGTAATAGACGAAAAAAAAAAGAAGTGTGGTGACTTACATGCATCGGCGGTGAAAGGCCTTCCAACGCTGGCGACGGTGTTGTTAAGTTCATGAGTTGTGGGTTGGTAACCATACCAGACCATAGATCTTCTTGATCTCGTTATTTTTATTTCTTTCTTTAATCACGGGTGCACTAAAAGTTTGTTAACTAATTATGCATATATATTTTTATTTTATTTTATTTATTTATTTTTTTTTTTTATCTTTGTATTTGTTTGTCTTGTTGCTGCGGGATTTCGATTTTCTGCGTGAGAGCACTGCTGACTTGCTTTTAACACATTTGCTTGCGTACACACACAAAAAATTGAATAAAAAAATTTCAACATTTATTCAATATTTATAATTTCCTGCTAGAGGGCTTAACTCCTAAGGCACTGCACATAATCATTTTAGAAAATTTTATTTTATTTTTTTTTTTCTGCATATAAATCGGTAGTTTTGTTGGCGTTCTATTTTGCCTAAGTTAGCGATGGGGATCCGAATGGGGTTGATGAGATCGCCATGAGCTTCAATGTCTCCTAGACCCGTCGGCTGCTCCAATTGGCACTGCAGACGTGCTTCGAGAATTAGCACTCTGGTGGCCAGAAAATTAGCCCCTAACCCAGAATTATGCTGGTTGGCTGGGGCAGCACCGTTTTATACCCTTGCAGAGGGTATTAAAATTTTGTCGTGAAATGTGTAACGCATAGAAGGGGACATCTTCGACCCCATAAAGTATATATATTCTTAATCAGCATCAACAGCCGAGTCGATATAGCCATGTCCGTCTGTCCGTCTGTCTGTTTCTATGTAAATTAGTCCCTCAGTTTTAAAGGTATCTTAATGAAACTGTTGCACGCAGCACATATGTGAAAACCAGCTGGATCGGTCCACTATATCATATAGCTGCCATAGGAACGATCGTTCGAAAATTAAGTTTTCGTATGAAAAAACATTTTGTTTTTCAAGATATCTTAACCAAACTCGGCACTTATTAGTTTTACTTTACTCCTCATATATATGCAAAATCCTATTAAGATCGGACCACTATATCATATAGCTGCCATAGGATCGATCGGTCGAAAATTAAGTTTTTGTATGAAAAAACATTTTGTTTTTCAAGATATCTTGACCAAACTCGGCATTTATTAGTTTTACTTTTCTCCTCATATATGTGCAAAATCCTATTAAGATCGGATCACGATATCATATAGCTGCCATAGGAATAATCGGTCGAAAATTGAGTTTTTGTATGAAAAAACATTTTGTTTTTCAAGATATCTTGACCAAGCTCGGCATTTATATATATATATGCAAAATCCTATTAAGATCGGACCACTATATCATATAGCTGCCATAGGAACGATCGGTCGAAAATTAAGTTGTATGAAAAAACATTTTGTTTATCGAGATATCTTGACCAAACTCGGCATTTACTGTTTTCCAGGTACTTTTTAGATAGGGGCAAAGCACTATGCGCATTATGAAAAGGTTGGGTTTGCAAGGGTATTAGAACTTTGGCGTGACGAAGATAGCCCTTCCTTCTCGTTTTTCATAGTTATCTTATGGAGCATTAGCAACGACTCGGATGAGGATGATCGAAATAATCAGGCTCTATAGAATAACACTATATTATTTTTCACGGTCTGAAAAATATTATTATGGGCGCATACCTTCTCCTCTTTTCCTCTTAACTTTATAAAAAGCTGGTAAAAGCAAAGCAAAGATGAGATGCCCTTGGATTAGGGATTTGGTTGTCCATCACACATGAGCTTCTTGGCTCACCGTGGATTGCGACAACGCAAGCATTGCTTCAGTTTCGGTTTCTTGGTAAATTTATTTTTAAGGCTGTCTGTCATATTTTAGTATAAGACAAATTTCGCAATAATTGATAATGGCTTGGCACTTTACTTTTTTAATAGGGGTGATTAAATGTTCTCCTTAACTACTACTGCTTCTGCTTTATCTATCCCCCTGTGCTTGCTATCCTTGTGACATTTCTAAACTTCTTGTTCTATTTTACTTGAGTCTGTTTCGTCTTCCAACATTATTGTACATTTAATAATTTTGTGTAGGTTTGTGGGTAGGAAGTATTCTTGGAGAGTTTCTATTATAACGTTGAAAGTGTTGAAAGTGGACGAAAATTGGGATATTTTGTCCTAATCGAAGTGGGTCTCTAACATTGTTCTTCAATTTTTTTAAAGAGGATGTAGTTATAATTTGGGAGGTGTCATTTATACGAAATATTATTGTGATCTCACTGACCATTCCCAGCTATGAGCAGGGGCATAGCTTGTCGAACAGGCTATAAATTTCGCTCCAGCGGGTCGGTGATTTCCAATTACTATCTCTGTTTCCTATCTAGATAACATTATATATATCTTGTTTAATTCCTTTACTTTATTAAGAACTTCTCTCTTTCCTTTTCCCTAATTATTGTATTTTCTTAATTAATATAGTCATTTAAAATTGATTTTAATTTAAACTAAAGAACACCTCCATCGGTTGGTGATGCTTTTAGAAAATTGTGTACTTTAACTAGGCTTTTAGCATTAAATTTAATTATAAAATTATTTTATTAAATAATTAGATAAACACTCGTTTTGTCGACCCTTAATAAATAAATAAATTCATTAACCAAATGAGTGGTCTATGGTTTGTGACAATCTTGAATCTTAGTTCGAACAAGTAAGAACGGAAATATTTGGTTTCCTACACTCGAATAATTTAATACGGTGTCTGTTAATATTCGACTAGCGAAAGATAACGGTTTTTCATTTAAGGGTGTACCTTTAAACTGTTGTGTCAGTTGTTTTGTTATCTTATCGAAGTCCCTAATAAATTTTCTGTATTACCCTAATAAACCCAGAAATGACTTGATTCTTATTTGTCTTTGGGATCGAGGATAGCTTGAAAGCGTCAACCTTTTTTGGATTGGGCTTAATTCCCTTGTCTTTTATGACGTGTCCTAAGTATTCTATATATTTTCTTAGGAGCTTTGATACGGCTAGTGCAGGGCTAAATTTATGTTATTGAGTTTGTCAAATACAGCCTTAAATGATGTCAGCCAAACAAACAACATTCATTATTCAAATCGGCTAATTCGTTGTCCATTACCCTTTGAAACATGGCTGGGGTGATGGTAACCCCGAATGGCATTTGAACAAATTTAAAGTGGCCACCTTCCGAAGAAAATGTTGTTTTATCAATATCTTTCGGGCGCATCTCAATTTGATGGTATCCGCTAGCAGTGAAATACTTTTCTCTGCCTATTTTGTCTAGGATTTATTACTATTACTAGTCTACATCTCTTTTCATTAGAAACAACCACCTTTTTTGGTACCCAAAAGGTGTTTACTGATATCCTGATCCAATCATTCATCGGAATGGTTTGGTGTAAATTGGTATATCGTCCGTTGTCTTGACTCTATGTAAAACAAGTTTGGAAATTTTAAAGAGATTTTTATTACTTGTTTTTTGCAGATTGTTTCATTATTGGGCTCTAATATAAGCTTGGCTTTCAAATATTCTTGTTTCCTATACTTTTCGACTTCAAGTCGTGTATCGAAACAAAATTTCTGCGTCTCTTTTGAAAGGGTTTAAACTGCCATAACACTTAAGGTGTTTTTGGCAGAATACAGTCCTCCTGGTATAAATAAGTTTTTGCTAATGGTTGTTGGTTAGCACCCGAATGTGCCGTTTTCGATATTAAAGGGTTGTTGTGTTATTTCCTTTGATTCTTCCTCTATAGTGTGTAAGCTTGACACTATTTTATCTATGAGTTTGATCTGCATGTTGAAAGTTTTTGTTTGAAGAGATCGGTGTGGAATGTTTACAATCGCTTCTCATTGTTGTAGAATATGTATTCCAATCAAACCAATGGTTGGAATTGGAATATAGGTAACAATAAAGCAAATGATTTGAAAATTCTTTAAAAAGTGGGAGAATCGTTGTTATATAATTGGTGTACGTTCAGTACTGTTTTAATCGCTATTGGCGTTTGTTGTCTTGATTTGCTTGTGGTACCAGTTTAGGACTAATAAAATAACATGTTGCATTAATGTTAATTTAAAACTTGGAGGGATTACCAGATAATACCAGGGTATGTGGTAATGGTGAATTTTTTTTATTATTAAGTATTCTGTTTCGTGCCACGTCGAGGATCTTTGCGTCCACGTTATAATTATGCAGTTGATCATGTTGTTCCTTCACATTACGCATGCAACTCTTAGTCTGCGAATTTCCTGGGTATCTTTTCGATTGTTATATTGTTGGTCGGAAGTGCTTTCCTAAGACATGATTGCAAGAATATTTTTTTTTAATTTATTATAGTTGCTTATGGTATTAACTAATAGAATTCATAAAAATAGTAATAGAATATAGAATGATAAGTGAGAAATAATACAAAAACAAAAAATAGTCGGTTTTTTCATTGTCAAACAATTGTTTACAGATTTGGCATAAGTAATAATTAAATTAATTTAAGGCACTGAAATGGCATATTTTTCTTATATTTAATATTTGGTATGGCCGCCATTGGTATGTACATATGTATGTACAACTAACCATACATTGTATGGTTAGTGTATGTATGTATATTATCTTCTCTGCATGAGTATAATCTCTAAATATGAACCGACCTGCCGAATTCTGAACACACGAATCGATCAAACGACATGTAAAGTTTTTTGGACATAAACTCGCATAAATTACGTATGTACATGTATGTATACGCGTGTATGTTGTTTCGGTGTCGTAGCTAATACATATTTGTATGTATGTATGCATGTACATCCCTAAGCGGATGTAGTTATAATTTGGGAGGTGTCATTTATACGAATTATTATTGTGATCTCACTGACCATTCCCAGCCAGCTATGAGCAGGGGCATAGCTTGTCGAACAGGCTATAAATTTCGCTCCAGCGGGTCGGTGATTTCCAATTACTATCTCTGTTTCCTATCTAGATAACATTATATATATCTTGTTTAATTCCTTTAGTTTATTAAGAACTTCTCTCTTTCCTTTTCCCTAATTATTGTATTTTCTTAATTAATATAGTCATTTAAAATTGATTTTAATTTAAACTAAAGAACACCTCCATCGGTTGGTGATGCTTTTAGAAAATTGTGTACTTTAACTAGGCTTTTAGCATTAAATTTAATTATAAAATTATTTTATTAAATAATTAGAAAAACACTCGTTTTGTCGACCCTTAATAAATCAATAAATTCATTAACCAAATGAGTGGTCTATGGTTTGTGACAATCTTGAATCTTAGTTCGAACAAGTAAGAACGGAAATATTTGGTTTCCTACACTCGAATAATTTAATACGGTGTCTGTTAATATTCGACTAGCGAAAGATAACGGTTTTTCATTTAAGGGTGTACCTTTAAACTGTTGTGTCAGTTGTTTTGTTATCTTATCGAAGTCCCTAATAAATTTTCTGTATTACCCTAATAAACCCAGAAATGACTTGATTCTTATTTGTCTTTGGGATCGAGGAAAGCTTGAAAGCGTCAACCTTTTTTGGATTGGGCTTAATTCCCTTGTCTTTTATGACGTGTCCTAAGTATTCTATATATTTTCTTAGGAGCTTTGATACGGCTAGTGCAGGGCTAAATTTATGTTATTGAGTTTGTCAAATACAGCCTTAAATGATGTCAGCCAAACAAACAACATTCATTATTCAAATCGGCTAATACGTTGTCCATTACCCTTTGAAACATGGCTGGGGTGATGGTAACCCCGAATGGCATTTGAACAAATTTAAAGTGGCCACCTTCCGAAGAAAATGTTGTTTTATCAATATCTTTCGGGCGCATCTCAATTTGATGGTATCCGCTAGCAGTGAAATACTTTTCTCTGCCTATTTTGTCTAGGATTTATTACTATTACTAGTCTACATCTCTTTTCATTAGAAACAACCACCTTTTTTGGTACCCAAAAGGTGTTTACTGATATCCTGATCCAATCATTCATCGGAATGGTTTGGTGTAAATTGGTATATCGTCCGTTGTCTTGACTCTATGTAAAACAAGTTTGGAAATTTTAAAGAGATTTTTATTACTTGTTTTTTGCAGATTGTTTCATTATTGGGCTCTAATATAAGCTTGGCTTTCAAATATTCTTGTTTCCTATACTTTTCGACTTCAAGTCGTGTATCGAAACAAAATTTCTGCGTCTCTTTTGAAAGGGTTTAAACTGCCATAACACTTAAGGTGTTTTTGGCAGAATACAGTCCTCCTGGTATAAATAAGTTTTTGCTAATGGTTGTTGGTTAGCACCCGAATGTGCCGTTTTCGATATTAACGGGTTGTTGTGTTATTTCCTTTGATTCTTCCTCTATAGTGTGTAAGCTTGACACTATTTTATCTATGAGTTTGATCTGCATGTTGAAAGTTTTTGTTTGAAGAGATCGGTGTGGAATGTTTACAATCGCTTCTCATTGTTGTAGAATATGTATTCCAATCAAACCAATGGTTGGAATTGGAATATAGGTAACAATAAAGCAAATGATTTGAAAATTCTTTAAAAAGTGGGAGAATCGTTGTTATATAATTGGTGTACGTTCAGTACTGTTTTAATCGCTATTGGCGTTTGTTGTCTTGATTTGCTTGTGGTACCAGTTTAGGACTAATAAAATAACATGTTGCATTAATGTTAATTTAAAACTTGGAGGGATTACCAGATAATACCAGGGTATGTGGTAATGGTGAATTTTTTTTATTATTAAGTATTCTGTTTCGTGCCACGTCGAGGATCTTTGCGTCCACGTTATAATTATGCAGTTGATCATGTTGTTCCTTCACATTACGCATGCAACTCTTAGTCTGCGAATTTCCTGGGTATCTTTTCGATTGTTATATTGTTGGTCGGAAGTGCTTTCCTAAGACATGATTGCAAGAATTTTTTTTTTTCCTTCCTAGTTTAAAATTGTGTGTCATAACTTTCGTTATGGCTGCGATTGTCACAGCGTATTTCGTTATTATTTTTTCTATTGATTGTTATGATAGTTTCCTACGGATCTGTTGCCCCGTGGTCTATACTCTCGAGGTTGTTCTAGACTTTTCCTATTTTCCTTTTTCTCTTTCTTGTATCTATGTGACTCAATATCTTCAAGCTGCCAAACTAATGACGTCGATGGTGTCCAAATTCCATACTCTTCCGGAACATCAACAAGCTACTATTTCGCATATAATCTTGTGGTTGTTGCAGAGATGCAGGACTCAACAATTTTTATACCCTGAACCCATTAAAAATGGGCAAAAATAGTATATTGTACCTATACAAATGTAAATGTATTTAACAGACAGAAGTAAGCACCTCCGACCCCAAAAAGTATATACATATATTCATGATCACCCACGTCCGTCTGTTTGTCTGTCCGTATGTATGAACGCAACCCATAAGATCTAGGGACTGAAATTTAGAATGTAGGTTCTCCTAGTGCCTGCGCAGATCGGGTTTGTTTCCGACAATCGATAACTTACTCAGTTTCCAAACAGGCGATTCTTATCGTCGATATCGACATCCTGTTTTTTGGGAAAGTTGGGTAAATACACTAACAAAACAAAATGTTGTTTGGTTAGTGGTAAATATTAAGAGCTAAGAGCAAGTCATAAAACGATATTTTTGATACGTTTGCATTTAGAATTTTATATATATATCCAGTATCTTTCATTTATACCCATTGGCACCTTCCCGCTGCCATCACAAAACTATAAATTATGTTAATAACCCAACTTGTATTGCCAACCAAGCTAAGCCAACTTAAATGCAATTGACTTTTATCCACGATTTTCTTTATACACGTACACACACATTCATGCATGTCTGTTTCGAATTCTATCAACAATATTGTAATTGATTGTATTGTTTTCTGTGCTGATATTTAAATTTTTTTCACTACGATTTAATTATTGGTGCGGTTGTTGAATAGAGGCGGTGGCATGTGGTGTGGTATGTCGCTAGTTCGAGCCCTGCAGAAGAAAATATTTTTTTTTATTGGCTGCTGTGGCTGTTGAGTGAAGACGGCGGCAAGTAGAGCGGTAAGTTGCGAGTTCAAACCCAGCCAAGGGAACATTTTGGAATAATAGGGTTCAGGGTATCCCCAAGTCGGGAGCTCCAATATATATTATATATATATATATATATATATATATATATATATATATATATATATTTACTCACATACAAACACAATTGCCTGTACGACTCTCATAGAGCTGAAGCTGAGAGTAAATTCCATTTTTAGCGTTTTCGCTCATTCGACTGTGAGAACGTTTTCGTTTTCAATTTTTAAAAATTCATTTGTTGTAGCATTTTGTTGTATGGCGTTACTCATCTTATTGTAGCCTTTCTCCACTGGCTTAAGAAATGTCACATTTTCAAGTTTCACATATATGTGCTCCATCGGTTGTCGGTAACATGTGAGTAGGAAAACTATCGTTTCTTTAAATAAACAGCTGATTGTATAATTTACATAAGTTGCTTTAATTTACAAAGGCACCGTAAAGTTTTTCTTCTAAAACGCAAAAATTGCGCTCTCGACGTAATGGCTCCACTTCAGGTACTCTTTTCGACATTTCGCCATGTTTAAATTCTAAAAACTGTGGGGCTATTCTAATTTTAAATTTCTTATATAAAGTTGTCGCTTGCCTTCGTTGATATATCAGCTGTTGATGTTTACGATACATCGATAGAAATCTGGATAAATGATCGAAAAAAAAAACACGAAATGTTCGGGGCGAATTTACACATTTTTCATAAATGAGGCTTTTTTGAAAGATGCGTGAAATGTGTTTTCTTAAGTGAAACGCACTGAGCGCATTTCACACATTTTGCAAAAATGTGACATTTTCAGAAATGTGGTCTGTGGACAGAGGATATTAGTGTCTTTGGTTCGGACCATCCACTAGTCAGGAAATCACGACTTAAAGCCTTTTACTAGTATTGTTTTTTTTTTTTGTTTTAATTTAATTTATTAAATTAGCAGCACTAACTGTAAATTATCAAAAACAAGTTAAAAAGTATCTTTCCATTTAATGAAAAAACAAAGTCACTGCGTTACCGCTTTCTTGCCTTCAGTAAGCCACGCCTGTTGTTGAAAATATGTACATACATACAGTATGTCAAGAAATTGTTTTTACATTAGAAAAAAATAAATGATTTTTCGACTTTCTTAGCAAAAATAAATACTTTCAAATATTGTAAATATTTTTTTTTAATTTATTATAGTTGCTTATGGTATTAACTAATAGAATTCATAAAAATGGTAATAGAAAGTAGAATGATAAGTGAGAAATAATACAAAAACAAAAAATAGTCGGTTTTTTCATTGTCAAACAATTGTTTACAGATTTGGCATAAGTAATAATTAAATTAATTTAAAGCACTGAAATGGCATATTTTTCTTATATTTAATATTTGGTATGGCCGCCATTGGTATGTACATATGTATGTACAACTAACCATACATTGTATGGTTAGTGTATGTATGTATATTATCTTCTCTGCATGAGTATAATCTCTAAATATGAACCGACCTGCCGAATTCTGAACACACGAATCGATCAAACGACATGTAAAGTTTTTTGGACATACACTCGCATAAATTACGTATGTACATGTATGTATACGCGTGTATGTTGTTTCGGTGTCGTAGCTAATACATATTTGTATGTATGTATGTATGTACATCCCTACGACTGTAAGCGCACACGATTGTTAATACCATAATATATTTGTATGTATATATAAGGTGTTTGTTGTAATAGGGGGTTGGCAGCACACGAAGTCATAAAAATGGAGTTTGGGGTTCAGTTTGTATACGATTAATATATAAATGCATACAATTGTGTATGTATTTTTTTATACCCTTGCAGACGGTATTATAATTTTGTCGTGAAATGTGTAACGCATAGAAGAAGACATCTCCGACCCCATAAAGTATATATATTCTTAATCAGCATCAACAGCCGAGTCGATATAGCCATTTCCGTCTGTCCGTCTGTCTGTTTCTATGCGAACTAGTCCCTCAGTTTTAATGCTATCTTAATGCAACTTTGCAGAACTCCCTCTTTACGTTGCACGCAGCACATATGTGCAAACCAGCTGGATCGGACCACTATATCATATAGCTGCCATAGGAACGATCGGTCGAAAATTAAGTTTTTGTATGAAAAAACATTTTGCTTATCAAGATATCTTGACCAAACTCGGCATTTATTAGTTTTATTTTACTCCTCATATATATGCAAAATCCTATTAAGATCGGACCACTCTATCATATAGCTGCCATAGGAACGATCGGTCGAAAATTAAGTTGTATGAAAAAACATTTTGATTATTAAGATATCTTGACCAAACTCGGCATTTACTATTTTCCCGGTACTTTTTAGATTGGGGCAAAGCACTATGAGCATTATGAAAAGGTTGGGTCTGCAAGGGTATTAGATCTTTGGCGTTCCGAAGATAGCCCTTCTTTCTCGTTTTGTATACATATGTAGGTACATATGTCGTCAATTCATGAACCATGAAGTCAATTTCTAAGTATGTAAATAAAATGTTGGTATTGTGCATATGTATGTATGTATATATTTATATGTATATATATGTATATATTTGGCTTCTTTGGCTACTAACGTGGGAAGTTTTTACTTTTCAAACAGTTCTAAAACAACTGTTGTCTTATTTAGTTGATTTATCTTCTGTGTAACTAAAAATTTGTTTGTTTTTTTTGTGAACAATTGATTGAATTATTTTATGAAATGCAGAAGTTTGTTGTATACATAGATTCAAATATGATTTCATATTGAAACAAAATGAAGCTGCGCAACCGAATAAAATATATTAGACAACAGTGTGCTCAGTCTATATTAATTTGTGGGGGAAATAGGTAATATAATTTTTGTTCTTATATATGTACGTAAGTGGTAAATGAATCAAAATATTTTAAGTAGTTGATATATACATGTAGAGACATACATACATACATGTATGTCTCATTAGTTTATATTGTTGCATATGTATTTATACGTTTGCATTTATTAATTGGGTCAGCTTGGATCGTATTCAGATTAAAACTTAAAAACAGGGAATGCAAACGCTAAAACTAAACCTGAGAATCTAGGGTGCACTGCGCTTTGGCCAATAACCAATTGCTAAGCAGATAACCAATTGCTAAGCGGATGTTTCGCATTGAACTGGGGCCGCTGGGGCCAACAGCTTTTTATACCCTGAGCCCATTAAAAATAGTTATAAGGGTATATTGTATTTGTGCAAAATGCAAATGCATGTAACATGCAGAAGGAAGCATCTCCGACCCCATAAAGTGTATATATTCTTGATCAGCATCAATAGCCGAGTCGATCTAGCCATGTCCGTCTGTTTGTCTGTTCGTACGTATGAACGCAAGGATCTCAGAACCTATAAGAGCTATAGACTTGAAATTTTAGATGTAGGAGTTCCAAGTGCCTGCGCAGATCGAGTTTGCTTTCGATAATCCATAACTTACTCAATTTCTCTTTTTGGGCAATTTCGGTAAATAATAAAATCTAGTCACCAAACTTGACATATAGCTTCTAAAATAGAATATATATAAGTTGACAGAGGCCAACGACACCAGCTCCAGATGCTGATATAATACTGAGCCGAATGTTCTTACGCGCTAACAGGGGTCAGCAAAATGCAACATAACACCAGCCGCAGATGCTGACTTAGCTCTGGGCCGGATGTTCTTGCACGACGGCAGCGCACGAGGCGCACATCGGCCCAGCGACTTCGTGTATAATTTAACTCACTCACTAGGGGGTGTCGGCCTAGTGTTTTATAAATCATTATTAAAATAAAGTTCTATCAAAATAATCCGCGAGGACTTAATATTTAAAACCTAATTTATATACATATAATGTTGGAAGAAGAGGGTTCAGGGTATCCCCTAGTCGGGAGCTCCCGACTAGAACCTCTTACTTATTAAATATTGTTCAACAACTTTTACCGCACTTTCACAAAGTGAGAACATATTGTGATCTCGACTACTTACAAAATTAAACGTAGTGTAAAGTTCATCCTTAGTCCTTGGTTTTGGGTTTGTCCTCGGGATTATAGTTGTGTCCGTAGAGCGGATATATGTATATATATATTGATTTGATGTAAATGAAATAAGAATTCAATAAACACTGTCTCGTTTTCTTTGAATGTTCCAAACTGAACTAAATGTTTTGTTCGAGCTTCAGTAAAGCTAAATGTATACAATGGTTTTCTTAAAAGCTAGCAACATGTATCTGACATATTGCCGTTGCAGCAGTTCATGTGTCTGCACGAGAACTGTCGCAACCAATATCCTGTTAAATTTCTGTATCAGCATTGTAACATAGTGTCACAATGCTATGCTACCGCCGCAGTTTTTTGGCGGCTTGGCGGGTGGAACCGAATCATATATACCCTGTATGGTATATTCGGTAACTCACGCACTTACATTGGTACTCAATTTAATTTAATTCGAGTCCGTTCAATATAACATATGTTGTGAGTGAAGCCATGCAGCTCTCTAATACATTCATATATATATGCATACTTGCAAGTTGGAGGCGAATGGATAAGAAGACATGACCTTGCGGATTATAGGCATAGCAGTGCTTAGAAACCACAACAATGAGTTAGAAAGGTGCAGAACCTAAGATCATAGGCTGTAGCCTCAAAGAGAAAAGGGTTAGCAAGGACAGAACTTATGGTGTGCATTTTCCATTGTTAAGTTGTTTTTTTTTTTTGATTACGGCTGTTGTTGGTTTTAATGGAAAATATTTTTAAGTTGTCACTGAATTTTGGGCATCGGTTTTATGTTTTATGTTTGTGTTTGCAACCTCGTTTTAGCCCATATGGTATTTCAAAAAAGACCTATTGATCCAAACACCTGCTCTTTTTCTTTACTTTATTTATATTATTATAGAATGGATGGATTTTACGTAATGTGTTAATGCATTTTAACATTTATATTTAAAAATGTGCTTGTGGAGTTTTCCAAAACCCTGTCTGCAACTTTATCATATATGGTGACACCAGTAAATATTTAAGCTTCCTAGATTTTATTGACAAACTGTTTTATATATAGAGATAAAGTTCTCGTTTGCAAGGCACCGTTTCTCAAAATAGGGTATTTTGATTATTGATCAGTGCTGTAACCAAATACCACCCAAATTTAATTTAATATTTAGTGTGCAACTATTAGTACAATCAATAACAATTGTTTTCTTTATGCCTTAACGCGCCAAATTGTTTTTGTATGTCTCATCTCAGCCATATTTGTGCACATCCGCAGATATGAATATGTCTGTCAAGCCAAGGAAGTCTATGAATTTAAGAAGATTGCTACATTCTGTTGTGCATGCGGTATCACAGCCCAAGACTTTATGCGCGATCATTTCGTATTTAAAATGATTACATATTTTCCATCCATTATTTACTATAAAAGACCCTATTCACAAATTATTTAAATCTACATAATAAAGGTTGGAATATATACTCGTCAATACAAGAAATAAAATTCTATAAATTGTGACGTCATAATTTCTTATTTTAACGCGCCGTGCGCTTAACCCTTTGATCTGAGTGCCATGGCCTGCTGGCATTTAAACTTTGTACCTACTTGGTTATCACCTAAAT